CAAGTCTAGTGAGCCGTGATTGCACCACTGCACTCTAGCCTGGTTGACAGACTTTGTCTCAAAAAAAAAAAAAGACATACAAGCCTGGTCATGATGGCTCATGCCTGTAATCCCAGCATTTTGGGAGACCGAAGCAGGTGGATCATACAGTCAAGAGATCGAGATCATCCTGGCCAACATGGTGAAACCCCGTCTCTACTAAGTAAATACAAAAAAATTAGCTGGGTGTGGTGGTGTGCACCTGTAGTCCCATCTATTCGGGAGGCTGAGGCAGGAGAATCGCTTGAACCCAGGAGGCGGAGGTGGCAGTGAGCCGAGATCGTGCCACTGCACTCCAGCCTGGCAAGAGAGCAACAGTTTGTCTCAAAAAATATATATATATACAGTTGGGTGGGATGGCTCATGCCTGTAATTTCAGCACTTTAGGAGGCCAAGGTAGGAGGATCACAGGGTCAGGGGTTCGAGACCGGCCTGGCCAACACGGTGAAAACTCGTGTCTACTAAAAAAAAAAAAGAAAATTAGTCAGGCGTGGTAACACACGCCTGGGGAGGCTGAGGCAGTGCTTATAGACATATCTATATAGATATGTGTAAATACACATTACTAAAGTTTAGAGAAGGACTGCACAAGTCTAGGAAAATTTTTAGGAAACTGAAACTTAATTCTGCATACTGCCAACCTTGTGGCTAATACGTATCTGAATGATAAGCTCCCCGCCATATATCTCTATGTCTCTAGTTGCTAAAAGAGTTCCAGCTCAATAAATATGAAGATTAATATAACTTACATTAGTTTTTCAGTTTATAATTTAATTTACACACTTTTTTATTTTTTTTTTTTTGAGATTGAGTATCACTCTGTCCTCAAGGCTGGAGTGCAGTGGCACAATCTAAGCTCACTGAAATCTCCACCTCCCAGGTTCAAGCAATTTGCCTGCCTCAGCTTCCTGAGTAGATGGGAATACAGGCACACATGCCATTACATATGGCTAATTTTTCTATTTTTAGTAGAGACAGGGTTTCACCATGTTTGCCAGGCTGGTCTCAAACTCCAAACCTCAGGCGATCCACCAGCCTCAATTTCCCAAAGTGCTGGGATTGTAGGCATGAGCTCCCAGGCTTAACATACATTATATCTTATGTGACCCCCATAACACCACTATAAAGATGGTCAAAGTAGTAACACTGTCTCAATTTTATAGATGAACAAATCAGGCTTCCTGGGACTTGCAGAAGAAACTAGCTTGTCAGTTTCAACACAAAAACATTTTCATTTTCTGAAGAGCAATGTTACTCAAAAGTATAGGCCACTGACCACTGCAGTTCCATGAACTGCAACAAGATAAGCATAGAAATTGAGATTATTTAGAGAAAGTGCTAATTTGCCACCGTGCCCAGCCAATCTCTACTTTTTTAAAAGAGAAAAACATAAATTAAAATGCACATTCCCAGACCCTATTTCATGGCAATAAATTCTTTGGTTGGGCCAAGGAAACTGCATTTTTACTACCCTCTCCTGGTTATTACTAGGCACTATAAGAATGACTGCTACAAACTTTCACAAGAGAAACAGGGAAGTGGCCAGGCATGGTGGCTCATACATGTAACCCAAACACTTTGGGAGGATAAGGCAGGAGAATCACCTGAGGTCAGGAGTTCAAGACCAGCATGAAGAAATGGTGAAACCTCGTCTCTACTAAAAATGCAAAAGTTAGCTGGACATGATGGCAGGTACCTGTAATCTAAGCTACTAGGGAGGCTGAGGCAGGAGAATCGCTTGAACCCGGGAGTGGAGGTTACAGTGAGCCAAGATCGCACCACTGCACTCCAGCCCAGGCAACAAGACCGACACGCCATCTCAAAAAGAAAAAAAAAGCAACAGGAAAGTAAGGAATCTAAGTACATAATTAAAGAATAGGAGTTAGCTACATTTTTCTAACCTCCCCAGCACTCATCTATAAAAATCCTGTTTTTCTTCATGCAAAGTAGAACAGATTGTAGGCTATCCTTAGGAATATTTTTTAAATGAAAGAAAAACAAAATATTCTCTTTAATCCTTTATACCATGGAACTAATAATAATAGGCACTAGGAGAGCAGTTTTGAACAGTAGAAATCTTTTACAATGCTCTGAAAAGCATGATCTCCTAGGTACATTTTGTACATGCATACTCTAGAGAGCCTCCTCTTCCCAGATAAAACATGTTTTTTTTGTGTGTGTGTGTGTTTTGTTTTTGTTTTTTTGAGTTGGAGTTTTGCTCGTTACCCAGGCTGGAGTGCAATGGCGCGATCTCGGCTCACTGCAACCTCCGCCTCCTGGGTTCAGGCAATTCTCCTGCCTCAGCCTCCTGAGTAGCTGAAAACATGTTCTAAGTGATACATTCATCATAGAAGTCTGAAGACAGTTGGGGGAAAGCACACTGTAACAAGTAACAAGGTATGCACTGGGGGCCTGGTGAGAAGGAATATAGGAGAGAGATTAACATTTGAGTAAATGCTGATTATCAGAATGGTGAGAGCTAAGGACCAAAAAAAAAAAAAAAAAAAAAAAAACCAACCAAATTGAGGTTCCCACCTGTAATTTCACCACTTTGGGAAGCAGAGGTGGTAGGAGAGCCTGAGCTCAGGAATGGAGACCAACCTGAGCAATATAGGGAGACCATGTCTCTCTCTCTCTCTCTCTCTCTCTCTCTCTCTCTCTCTCTCTCTCTCTTATTTTTTTACAGAGTGTCACTCCGTTGCCAGGCTGGAGTGCAGTGGCACGATCTCAGCTCACTGCAACCTCTGCCTCCTGGGTTCAAGCAATTCTCTTGCCTCAACCTCCCGTGTAGCTGGGACTACAGGCGTGCGCCACCACACCCAGATAATTTTTGTATTTTTAGTAGAAACGGGGGTTTCACCATGTTGGTCAGAATAGTCTCGATCTGACCAATAGTCAATCTCTTGATCTCATGATCCGCCCGCCTTGGCCTCCTGAAGTGCTGGGATTACAGGTGTGAGCCACCGCACCTGGCCTGCGAGACCTTGTCTCTACAAAAAATTTAAAACTAAGCTGAGTATAATGGTGCATGCCTGTAGTCCCAGCTACTTGAAATGCTGAGACAGGAGGATCAGTTAAACCCTGGAGACTGAGGCTTCAGTCAGCTATGATTGTGCCACTACTCTCTAGCTTGAGTGACAGAGCAAAACTCTGTGAAAGAAAGAAGAAAAGAAAGAGAAGAAAGACTTTAAAGAGAAGAAGGGAAGGACGAAGAGAAGGAGGGAGGGAGGAGGGAAAGGAAAAAAAGAAAGCAACAACAACAAAAAATAGTATTTAATTCTCAGAACATTCTTATGAAGTCCCTATTATACCCATTCCATGGATCAAAAAACTGAGACTCAAATACTGAATAACAGCTGAGCGTGGTGGCTCATGCCTGTAATCCCAGCACTTTGGGTAGATGAGGTGGGCAGATCACTTGAGGTCAGGAGTTCGAGACCAGCCAGGGCAACATGGTGAAACCCTGTCACCACTAAAAACACAAAAAATCAGCTGGGTGCAGCGACATGTGCCTGTAGTCCCAGCTACTTGAGAGGCTGAGGCAGGAGAATTGCTTGAACCTGGGAGGCTGAGGTTGCAGTAAGCCAAGATCCAGCCACTGTACTCCAGCTTGGGTGACAGAGCGAGACTCCATTTTAAAAAAAAATTAGTATTATATAGTATACTACATAACTTTTATTTAGCATAAAATACCTAAATAAAAAAAGTTGTGTTTCCTGTCCAAGAAACACAACAAACAGGAAAGTCATGATTAAAATCTACATCTAATTCTGGTTAGGCGTGGTGGTTCACGCCTATAATCCCAGCACTTTGGGAGGCCTAGGAGGGTGGATCACCTGAGGTCAGGAGTTTGAGACCAGAGATCAAGACCAGCCTAGCCAACAGGGCGAAACCTCATTTCTACTGAAAAATAGAAAAATTAGCGGGGTGTGGTGGCACGTGCCTGTAGTCCCAGCTACTCGGGAGGTGAGGCAGAACAATCGCTTGAATCCAGGAGGGGGACGTTGCAGTAAGCTGAGATCACACCACCACCCTCCAGCCTGGGTGACAGAGCAAGACTTCATAACAACAACAACAATAAAAATCTACATCTAATTCTTTTCATCTGGCGCCAGGCTGGAGTGCAGTGGCATGATCTCTGCTCACTGCAACATCTGCCTTCCAGGTTCAAGCGATTCTCCTGCCTCAGGTTCCTGAGTAGCTGGAGCTAAAGGCACATGCCACCACACCCAGCTAATTTTTCTATTTTTAGCAGAGATGGTGTTTCACCATGTTGGCCAGGCTGGTTTCGAACTCCTGACCTCAGGTGATCCTCCAGCTTCAGCCTCTCAAAGTGCTGGGATTACAGGTGTGAGCCATCAAGCCTGGCCATCTACATCTAATTCTAATGACCAGGACACTCCCCTTCTACCACACCAAGGATGGTAAGTGGGTTTCAATTCTAATGCCAACTACATTTAACTGATGGTGGTGACCTGTAAAATTCTGTTACATCGTAAAGACTTCTAATCAATTGTCAGCCATAGGAATAACATATAAAAATAGCAACACATATATAAACCCAGTATTTACCAGATTACTCTCATAATCAGACTAAAAATGCCAGAGGCATTTGAATTCAGCAGGCTATATAGTAACCACATTTTGCACTGTGGAAAAACAAAAGCTGAGAGGTGGTCATTACAGGGAAAGAGCAATTCTTTAAACCTTCATAACAGGTCTCAATAGGGTACAATAGTTCACACTTGTAACCCCAGCACTTAGGGAGGCTGAGGTGGGTGGATCACTTGAGCCTAGGAGTTTGAGGCTGGGTGCAATGGCTCACTCCTGTAATCCCAGCACTTTGGGAGGCCAAGGTAGGTAGATCGCCTGAGGTCAGGAGTTCAAGTCCAGCCTGGCCAACATGATGAAACCTCGTCTATACAAAAATACAAAAATTAGCTGGGTGTGATGGCACATACCTGGAATCCCAGCTACTCAGACAGCTGAGGCAGAAGAATTGCTTTAACTCAGGAGGCAGAGGTTGCAGTGAGCCAAGATCGCGCCACGCACTCCAGCCTGGTGACAGAGCTAGACTCCAACTCAAAAAAAAAAAAAATTTATAGCTCTGTATACTAAATTAGTCATAATATAGAGGTGAGAATGTTATGAGTATAGCTAATCCAGTAGCAGCCTAGCTACATTCTCTAATGACAATTCATGTATTTTAAAAGGGCAAATAATAATCCAAATAAATTTTTTCTCAACCCAGCTTCTGAGATTAGTGGCCCTGTGTCCTCTACTTACTACTGTACAGGCAAATGAAAGACAATTTGTCTTCTCAACTATAAACAAAATGCACTTTCAGTTCCTGGCAAAAATCACAGAGCAATGGTCTTGCACCATCTCCAATCTGCCCTAATGCAAACCAGATGGCTGAGCTCCTTCTAAGCTATCTAATGCTTCTTATTGCCAATCAATCCCAGTAATTATTCAGCCCTCCCCGCCAACTATGTAAACTCTCCATTTCAGTTTCCTAAAGGAATTTACACACACACAAACCAAACTGCAAAACAAATTCCTCAAATGAGGTAAAAGGCACTAAGGAAAAGCAGAATGGGTTACAGAAAAAGTTTCATTTTAGATGCTACAAAGAAGTGAAATTATTTCCAATGTACCTTTTTTTTTTGAGACAGAGTCTTGCTCTGTTGCCAGGCTGGAGTGCGGTGGCAAGATCTCGGCTCATTGTAGTCTACGCTCCCAGGTTCAATCGATTCTCCTGCCTCAGCCTCATGAGTAGCTGGGATTACAGTCATGGGTCACCACACCCAGCTAATTTTTATATTTTCAGTAGAGACAGGGTTTTACCTGACCTCATGATCCACCCACCTCAGCCTCCCCAAATGCTGGCATTACAAGCATGAGCCACCTCACGCAGCCTCCAATGTACCATTTTATAGGATTACCTTAGACGCTGGAATTAATAGTCACAATGGAAAAGGCTATGAACAAGGGCTTGAGAAGAGCACACATCTGTGTGGTATGGGAACACTATTAACTATTTCTAATTAAGAGGAGACTTAGATAACACAAAACCAAAAGAAGCCACACTGATCTCTTTACATGAAAGAAACAAACAGGATATATGAGACCACAAAGTGCTTATTATACTACAATGTATCTGGCAAGGTTAGCAAACAGGAGGTTAGAAATAAATTTGGCAAATCAGAGAAAATAATCTAACATACCTATGGAGGACACCAGCTGATTACTACAAATATCACTAGAGCTGCTACAAAGCAACACACCTGCAAACAAAAAAGCTGGGCTCCAAAGTTAAGCACAACTTTCCTCCAAGCCAAAATGTACTTCTTCAAAATATATCTGCAAAAATTATAGGGCACCAAATTAAAATCTGTCTCAGGACTGTCTTAGGTGAGTCCTACTTAAACTGATATACACTGAAAACAAACAGACATTAACCTTTTTCTTCATATTTTTCTGACAGAACATCTATACATTTGTTTATTGCTTGTCTCCTTCCACCACTACATTTTAAACTCTATGAAGTGAGGGAGACTTGTTCACTATGTCCCTAGTGCTCACATAAGTTCCTAGCACTTACAAATCATTCAATAATTGTTTGTTAACTAAATAACTGGACCCTTAATCTACCTGCTATTTTGATGGGCAACAGTGGGGGAATGCTATAGAATTCTATTTTCAAGCACAGAATTGATTCCTGTTCTTCAAGACTATATAGCTTTCTTGGCTCACGCCTGTAATCCCAGCACTGTGGGAGGCCAAGGCAGGTGGATCACCTGAGGTCAGAAGTTCAAGACCAGCCCAGCCAACATGACGAAACCCTATCTCTATTAAAAATACAAAAAATTAGCTGGCTGTGGTGGTGGGCACTTGTATTCCCAGCTACTCGGGAGGCTAAGGCAGGAGAATCACTTGAACCTGGGAGGTGAAGGTTACAGTGAGCTGAGATCACACCATTGCACTACAGCCTGGGCAACAAGAGCAAAACTCTGCCTCAGAATAAAAGAAAGAAAATTTGTCTTGGTTATTCTGTGTATAAACAAATCCTTCCCATTTCTTTTTTCTTTTGAGACAGAGTCTCACTCTGTCTCCCAGGCTGGAGTGCAGTGGCACAATCTTGACTCACTGCAAACTCTGCAAGCCAGGTTCAAGAGATTCTCCTGCCTCAGCCTACCAAGTTGCTGGAATTACAAGCATGGATCACCATGCCCGGGTAATTCTGTATTTTTAGTAGAGACTGGGGTTTCTCCATGTTGGTCAGGCTGGTCTCGAAATACAGACCTCAGGTGATCTGCCCGCCTCAGCCTCCCAAAGTGCTGGGATTACAGTCGTGAGCCACTGCACCCGGCCAATTTTTGTGTATATATATATATATTTTAAGATGGAGTTGTACCATGTTGCCCAGGCTGTTCTCAAACTCCTGGACTCAAGCAATCCACCAGCCTTGGCCTCCCTAGGTGCTGGGATTCAGGAGTGTGCTACCACACCCAGCTCACAAACTTTGGCTTCCAATTTTCCATTTGATTTTGTAGGCCAAGGGGATGGGATGATCTACATGCCACTGCCATCCGTTCGGGTCACATTAGGGGAAGCTATGGATCAGACACACATATGCAAGTAACTAGCACCAGGGCACCAAGATCCCCTAAATAGTTTTTGTGCTGTGATTCAGAGTGAGAAAGTAACCACGCAGAGCATCACCAACAGAGAAGAACCTCAAGACCCTTACAAGCAGGAGAAAACAGATTATTAGTTGGCTTCTCCTTGCTGTTTCAATTTATCATAGAAAACTAATAAGCCTTTTTTTTTTTGAGACAGAGTCTCACTCTGCCACCAGAATGGAGTGCAGTGGTGCGATCTCAGCTCTCTGCAACCTCCGCTTCCTGGTTTCAAGCAATTCTCCTGCCTCAGCCTCCCAAGTAGCTGGGACTACAGGCGCGTGCCACCACACCCAACTAATTTTTGTACTTTTAGTAAAGAAGGGGTTTTATCATGTTGGCCAGTATGGTCTCCATCTCTTGACTTCATGATCCGCCTGCCTCAGCCTCCCAAAGTGCTAAGATTATAGCCGTGAACCACCGCGCACAGCAATAAGCCTTCTTTCAAAGTCTTTTAATAGTTTCCATTGTTACCTATTGCCTGGCCTCCTGTATTCTGTCCTCCTAACCAAGTTACTCTGTCTCAATCTTCCATAAGACAGTCTCACGCCTGTATTTTCATGTACCATCCTCCTAGACCCTCCCTTGCCACATTTCTATGTAAGTTCTTGTCCTTTATCTGATAAAATATGTGGCCTAATTAATCCTAGCCAAGTGTTTATTCTCCCAATGTCTGGATGGTATTGTTTCTCAATAGCCATCAGAATTAACTCTCCTCCTCTCCTATAGTAATGGAAATATCACATGGTTTTTCAGCTTCACCACATTTCCTAGCCTCCACTATAGACAGGCTAAAATCTTGCCAACAGAATAAAGAGAAAATGTTTGTTACTTCTTGGTTGAGAACTAAAACAGGTGGGCAAATTCCTCCATGCTCTTTCCCCTTCCCATTTGGCTACAAACTAGCTCCAACCTTGGAGAAAAGGACAATGCCCTAGAATGTGATCCTCTTACTGGTGACATCAGCATTTTCTAGAAACTTTCTGGATATACAAATTCTTGACCCTCATCCCAGACTCTGAAATTTTGGAGGTGAGAATTATATATTTTGTTTTAACAAGCCCTCCTGGTGATTCTGATACATACTAAATTGTGAGACCCACTGTTCTGGGGATTAGCAGAAAAATTAGTGTAAAGAAAATCTGTCTCTGAAGTATCACATGAAACAAAAGAGCAACAGGACCCACTCACCTTGGGCAATTACATGAAAGAAATGCTTTCTATCTTGTTGGAGCCACTATAGCTATTAGGCATACTCTAGTTGCTCTCAAAACTTTTTGTTTCAGAACTCCTTAAAGAGGAGTTACAAATCAAGGCCCCAGCTGGGCATGGTGGTGAGAGAGTGCCTATACTCCTAGCCACTTGGGAGGCTGCGGCAAGAGGATTGTCTAAACCTGAGTTTGAGGTTACAGTGAGCTATGATTGCACCACTGTACTCCAGCCTGGGTGACAGAGCAAGACCCTGTCTCTAAATAAATAAAATCAAGGACCCCAAGAGGGCAATAACTAAGAGTCACCATATTAGAAACAGAATTAAAATGAAATTTTAAACTGGGCACGATGGCTCACACCTGTAATCCCAGCACTTTGGGAGGCTGACGCGGGCGGATCACCTGAGGTCAGGAGTTCGAGACCAGCCTGGGCAATATGGTGAAACCCCCATCTCTACTAAAAGTACAAAAATTAGCCAGGCATGATGGTGCATGCCTGTGGTCCCAGCTACTCTGGAGACTGAGGCAGAAGAACTGCTTGAACCCGGGATGTGGACGTTGCAGTGAGTTGAAATCGCACTACTGCAGTCTAGCAACAGAGCCTGGGCGACAGAGCCAGACTCTGTCTTGAAAAACATAAATAAAGTTTTAAAAATATTAATTCACCAACCAGGCACAGTGGCTCACACATGTAATCCCAGCACTTTGGGAGGCCAAAGAGGGCGGACCATGAAGTCAGATCGAGACCATCCTAGCTAACACAGTGAAACCCTGTCTCTACTAAAAAAATACAAAAAAAAAAAAAAAAAAAATTAGCCAGGCATGGTGGCACGTGCCTGTAGTCCCAGCTATTCAGGAGGCTGAGGCAGGAGAATCACTTGAACCGGGCAGGTGGAGGTTGAGGTGAACTGCCATCCGTTTCAAAAAAAAAAAATTTTGAGGCCAAGCTCGGTGGCTCACGCCTGTAATCCCAACACTTTGGGAGGCCAAGGAGGGTGGATCATAAAAGGTTAAGAGATCGAGATCATCCTGGCCAACATGGTGAAACCCCGTCTCTACTAAAAAATACAAAAATTAGCTGGGCATGGTGGTGTGCACCTGTAGTCCCAGCTACTTGGGAGGCTGAGGCAGCAGAATTGCTTGAACCTGGGAGGCGGAGGTTGCAGTGAGCCAAGATCACGCCACTGTACTCGAGCCTGGCGCCTGGCAACAGAGCAAGACTCTGTCTCAAAAAAAAAAAAAAAAAATCTTTTTAAATTCATTTAACTGTAACCAACCCATTTCATGTTAACATAACATATTCTTTATGAAAAATATTTTCCAAAATAAGAGAACAATTGAGTGACTAAAGTGGCATTGTTTTATATTTTTACAAATCTCTTTAATGTCTGGCTTAATAGAAGACAGCTGGATTCTCACAGCTGCCTTTGCATTCAATATGCAGTGATGTTGTTCTACTTAAAAGTATGGGGGACGGGGTGGAGTGGATGTGGTCTCACACATGTCACAGATACATAGGAAGGAAGCACTACCTTTTTTTTTTTGAGACGAAGTCTCGCTTTTGTACCCCAGGCTGAAGTGCAAGGCACAATCTCCACCTTCCAAGTTCAAGCAATTCTCCTTCCTCAGCCTCCTGAGCAGCTGGGATTACAGGTACCTACCACCATGCCCCGCTAGTTTTTGTATTTTTAGTAAAGATAGGGTTTCACCATGTTGGCTAGGCTGGTCTCGTACTCCTGACCTGAGGTGATCCTCTCGCCTCAGCCTCCCAAAGTGATGAGCTCCCATACCTGTATGAGCTCCCATGCCCAGCCAGGAGGAGTGTTTTTTAACCCCCAAACAATTATTGAAACCAGGAAACAATAGTGTTTATTAACTACTCTACAGCTCTTATTCACATGCACCAGTTTTCCTAATTATATATATACACCACACAGATTTTTTTTTTTAGATATATTCTTGCTGTCACCCAGGGTGGAGTGCAGCAGCACATCTCAGCTCACTGCAACCTACTCCTCCTGGGTTCAAGCGATTCTCTTGTCTTAGCCTCCCACGTAGCCGGGAGCACAGCGCACACCACCACACCTGGCTAGTTTTGTATTTTTAGTAGAGATGGGGTTGCACCACATTGGCCAGGCTGGTCTCAAACTCCTGACCTCAGATGATCCGCCTGCCTCAGCTTCTGTAAGTGCTAGGATTACAGGCGTGAGCAACCATGCCCGGCCCCTATATTCTTTTCAGATCCAGGACAAAATCCACAACCACACATTTAGTTGTCACGTGTCCTTCCTTGGTCTCCTTCCAATCTGTTAATTTTTTAGTCTGTCTTCACCTGGATACTTTTGAAGAATAGTGACCAGTTTTTTTGAAAAGTACCCTTTAATTTGGGTCTGACGTTTTCTCATAATTAGATTGAAGTTATATGTTTTTGTGATAATATCACAGAAGTAATGTGCCCTTTTCAGTGTATTGTATCAGGAAGTACATGATGTCAATATGTTGTATTAATGCTAATGTTACCTCAGTTACTTAAGATGGTATCTGATAGATTTCTCCACTGATATGTTATTACGGAGAGATACTTAGAAGCCACTATGTCAATGAGACAGAAAATTAATAAGGATATCAAGGACTCGAACTCAGATCCGGAACAAGTAAACTTAATAAATATTCATAGAGCTCTCCACTTCAAATACACAAAATATACATTCTTGTCAATACCACATCACACCTACCCATAAGTTTAAATGAAACATTGATTGGCCATTATTAATACTCAATTTTTTTCAAAATAAAGCAATATTTCCATTTACTCTCCCTCTTTCTCTTCCCCTCCTTTACTTATTTTTTTTTTCTTTCCTTCTCTCAAAAAAAAAAAAGAAATCAACTTGTAAACCTCTAGATTCGGGTCGGCAATGTCTCTCTCATTGCTTGATTTCCTTCCTTCCCTTCCCTCCCTCCCTCCCTCCCTCCCCCGCTTCCTCCCTTCCTTCCTTCATCCCTTCCTTCCTCCCTACCGTCCTTCTTCCCTCCCTCCCTGCTTCCTCCCTTCCTTCCTCCCTACCGTCCTTCTTCCCTCCCTTCCTGCCTTCCTCCCCCCCCCCAAAAAAAAGAAGCCACTATGTAAATATCTTATCTCCAAACAAAATCCCACATATTAATTTTAGCACACAAACGCAATTATTGCCGTGCATGGTGGCTTATGCCTGTAATCCTAGCACTCTGGGAGGCCAAGGCGGGCGGATCACCTGAGATAAGGAGTCCAAGACCAGCCTGACCAACACGGTGAAACCCTGTCTCTCCAAAAATTACCCAGGCATGATGGCAGGTGCCTGTAGACTCAGCTACTCAAGAGGCTGAGGCGGAAGAATCACTTGAACCTGGGAGGCAGAGGTTGCAGTGAGCTGAGATCATGCCATTGCACTCCAGCCTGGGCAACAGAGTAAGACTCCGTTTCAAAAAAAAAAAAAAAAAAAAAAAAAAAGACAATTTTTGCCTGCAACAACTACTTGTAGTAATCTGCCTAATGTTTCCATCATTCCTTTTATATTTATCAACTTGAGTTGCACTGTAGAAAACAATTGTCCCCTTTCCCATATTTATAGCAGCATGGACTTATGGAGATTTATTTTACGCCATGGGTTATAATCTGTTGTCATTATTTGTTTTTCTTTTTTTTTTTTTTTATTTGTTTTTCAAAATGTCCCAGATCTGGCCACTGAAAGCTCCTTCAAGTTGGCTCCCCATCACTGTTCTGGCAATTTATTAGTTTCTGGTCCCCACATAATGTTCCAGGTTCATCATCTTCATCTGCCCTAGCCATTTTTCCAAGCAGCTCTGGTTCCTTTTATTGAAGTGTTGCAAAACAAGATCTGGTGTCAGGTGTGCTCACTGCTATGGTGGTATCACTATTTCTAAGCCCTTTCAGAAAAGGAAATAAATATATGCATACACACAACATTCATATCTGTTTCTATATCGACATTTGCATATGTATATACAGCTTGAAGATCCTTAATCAGAAAATCCAAATTGGGTCAGGTGTGGTGACTCACATCTGTAATCCCAGCACTTTGGGAGGCTGAGGTGGCAGATCGCTTGATCCCAGGAGTTCAAGACCAGCCTGGGCAACATGGCAAAACCCCGTCTCTACGTTGCTTTTGTTTTTTTTTTTTGAGATGGAGTTTGGCTCTGTCGCCCAAGCATGATTTCAGCTCACTGCAACCCTCCCTTCCCATGTTCAAGCAGCGATTCTCCAGCCTCAGCCTTCTGAGTAGCTGGGATTACAAGTGCCTGCCACCAAGCCCAGTTAATGTTTTGCATATTTAGTGCAGATGGCATTTTATCATGTTGGCCAGGCTGGTCTCAAACTCCTGGCCTCAAATGATCCACCCGCCTCGGCCTCCCAAAGTGCTGGGACTACAGGCGTGAGCCACTGCACCTGGCCACCCTGTCTCTACTTTTTACTAAAAAAAAGAAAAAATCCAAAGTGCTTCAAAATGTGAAAAAAATTCCACATCTAAACTCAGGTGACAGGCTATAGTCAAAATGCAGTCAAAACTTTGCTTTATGCACAAAATGTTGTTATAAAATTACCTTCAAGCTGTATGCTTATTATATATATGAAACAAATCAATTTTGTGTTTAGACTTGGGTCTTACTCCCATGATACCTCACTATGTATATGGAAATATCCCAAAACCTGAAAAAATCCAAAACTGGAAACGGTTCTGGTTTCAATCATTTAAGGGATACTCAAATCTGTATATATATGTGTGTATATATAAGAACCCATTAGTTCATACTGATACTAGAGAGAGGTTTTTTTTTTTTTATTCCCCCAAGATGGAGTCTTGCTCTGTTGCCCAGGCTAAAGTGCAGTGGCACAATCTCGGCTCACAGCAACTTCTGCCTCTGAGTTTAAGCAATTCTCCTGCCTCAGCTTCTGGAGTAGCTGAGATTATAGGCTCCCACCACAAGGCCCAGCTAATTTTTTTGTTTGTTTGGTGACAGTCTCTCTCTGTTGCCCAGGCTGGAGTGCAGTGGCACAATCTTGGCTCACCACAACCTCTGCCACCTGGGTTCAAACGATTCTCCTCCCTCAGTCTCCCAACTAGCTAGGACTACAGGCATGCGCCACCACGCCTGGCAATTTTTTTTTATTTTTAGTAGGGACAGGGTTTCACTACGTTGGCCAGGCTGGGCTCAAACTCCTGACCACGAGAACTCAGCCTCCCAAAGTGCTGGGAGTACAGGCGTGAGCCACACTGCCCCACCAGAGAGAGAGGTATTTTTACAGCCTCTTAAATTTATTAGAATTTTGGATATTTTCCTTGATATTACTCAAGCAATTCTCCTGCCTTAGCCTCCCGAGTAGCCTGGACTACAGGCACACACCATCAAGTCTCGCTAATTCTTGTATTTTTAGTAGACACAGGGTTTTGCCATGTTGGTCAGGCTGGTCTCCACCTCCTGGTCTCAAGTGATCCACTCACCTTAGCCTCTCTCAAGGTGCTGGGATAATAGGCAGGAGCCACCACACCCAGCCTAAATTGTACTCTTTTAAATAGTTAATTTTTTAGCAGGGCATGGTGGCCCATGCCTGTAGTCCCAACTAATTGGGGAGCTGAGGTAGTATGGTCACTTGAACCCAGTAGGTCAAGGCTGCAGTGAGCCGAGACTGTCACTGCATTCCAGTCTGAGTGAGAAAGGGAGACCCTGTCTCAAAAATAAATTAGTAAATAAAAGAATTAATTCGATGTTCATGTGAAATTGAATTCAATTTTTAAAAAAGCAACCCAGGCAAGGTACAATGGCTCACGTCTGTAATACCAGCCCTTTGGGAAGCCAAGGTGGGCGGATCTCGAAGCCGAGGAGTCCTAGACCAGCCTGACAACATGGTGAAACCCCATCGCTACTAAACATATGAAACATTAGCTGTGTGTGGTGGTATCACCTGTAATCCCAGCTACTTGCGAAGCCGAGGCAGGAGAATTGCTTGAACATGGGAGGCAGAGGCTGCAGTGAGCTGAGATCTGATGGCCACTACACTCCAGCCTGGGTGACAGAGTGGGACTCAGTCTCAAAAAAAAAAAAAAAGCAACCCAGTAGTTTCTAAAAGTTAGCAGCAAATGCAAACTCTGAAACCCTATCAATAACTTTTTGTATTATTATATTAAAATACACTGGTCTGGTCAGGCTCAGCGGCTCATGCCTATAATCCCAGCACTCTGGGAGGCTGAGG